GTCCCGATTCCAAATGAACTACCCACCGAAATGAAGACAGCAAAGTCTGTCGGCTAGCGAATGAAAGGACTGCTACGAAACTGAATCAACCAACAAAATGCCTGTACGAGATGCTGTGGAACCCCGACCATTTCCAAAAAAAGGAACCCAGGATAATTGCCTGCCGATCAAAATATTGTTTTAACACAAGAACTCTCACTTCGGCGAATTAGAATTTTGTGTGGCGATATCAACTCGAATGACAGATAAGTTGCTTTTTTGGCTTGACCTCTTTTATGTACATGTATATATTTGCTCGTACCTTCTGTTCTTTCATGATCCCCTTTGTTAAATGAATTTTCTTTTTCTTTCTTTACCTGTTTATGTATTTATAAATGTTTTATTTTAAAATCAATCGTTTTGCGTCCATTCTTTGTTGACTCCCTTATGTCGCTTCCATTCCTAAGTGAAGACTGAGAAAAGATCCCACGTTTTTTTTTTTTTTTTAAAAAACCTGTGGTTCACCTATATGCTACAAGTTTGTAACAATATATATATGGGAATTAGCAGCATCTGACCAAGTATTCTTCGAATGTGTTACTATTAGTGTATCTGTGATTTACAAAGACTCTACTACAAATGGGTATTACAAAACATTGGCTGTTCAGTTAGTGAATGCCAAATGTTTCCTTATAAGGAAATAGGTAAATTTACCATTAGAGATGAAGAGAACAGTTACTATACTTTGATCTCAACCCACTGACTAGGTTTAAGTAGTACTGGCTGCTTAACCAATGAATATTGAATGTTTCTATATAAGGAAACACTTATTATGATTAGCATTAGAGATGAGAATAGATACTACAATTTGATCTCCGTTTGATGACCAGGGAGTGAAGAAAAACCTAACTCAAGTAGCACTGGTTGCTCAGTGACTGTCAAATGTTTCCTTATAAGGAAACAGATAATATTAGCAGTACCACAACCCCCAGCGATTTAAATCAAAACTTTGGGGATAATTTTTTCTTGGGCCTTCAAATATGATTGGAGGAATTATGGATGATACATAGTTATGTCAATAAGTCTGTAATTTAATGATGAAAGAAGCAGTTAGTCTACACAAAATTATCTTCTTTGTCAATGCACTTAATCCTATAGTGAATATTATACAAAGAAAATTTCAGATAAAGATTCTGTTGATAACTGTGTCAGGATATGGATTTACTGATCAGCCTTCATATAGGTAATGTTTCTGGTTACAATTTAAGTGCCCTGACAAAGTTCAAGTCTCAGTTGAAGTAATTCCTTTGTTCAAAATCAATTAAAATTTGAAGGCCTAAGAATAGATTAGTCAAAAATGCAAGAAAAATAAGATGAATAAAAAAAAATGAAAAAATATTCCAGAAATCTTTTTGTTATCAATTATTTTTAATAATCCAAAATAAAGTCAGCATATAAACAAAAAAAGAAAAAAAGTGGTATTGATATTTAACTTTTTCACACGTCAAAGAAAAAAAGGGGGAAAACAAAGACTTGTTAGTCATTTTTTCTATCCAATTTTTTTTCTATCACTCTTTGTTTCTTTTATTTCCTTCTCATCCTTTATTTCTTCCTCTTCTTTCTTGTCTTTTCCTTCTTACCTTTTTTCCTCTATCTCTTCTACCACTCCATTTATCTTTCTTTCCTTCTTCCACCTCTTCCTTCCACCACTTATTTCCTTCTTGTTCCATGTCTCTTTTCTTCTCATGTATTTCCCCTCCTTCTTCCACTACTGACCATTCATCTTTTATCTTCTTCCAGTCTCTTTCTTTCTATTTTCCTTCTCTCTCTTCGCCTCTCCCTTTCTTCATCTATTCCTCTGCTTTTTCTGCTTTCTCCTTCCGTCTCTCTCTCTCTCTCTCTCTCATTCTTTTATTTCTTCAATGTCCATTCCCACTAAAAAAAAAGTTTTCCAATTTATGGAGAAACATGAAGATAAAAATACTCCATACAAAGTCAGTTTTATTCTTTTCTTCATTTGGCAAAACAAAAACTTCATTGAAGCTTCCCTAGCAGAATTCACAACCGCATGTGTTTCAGAAGTGGCAAGTCGTTGGCTGTTAAGACAACTTGTATCTTGTGTTCATCCATTCTCCTATTTGTGAGCTTTCTGTCTGTTCTCGTATTGTTGCTAGATCCCCCCCCTAACTACGTGCTCAATAACAAAATACCAAGAAAGAACAAACGATATACAGACTCCAACAAAATCACCACCAGAAGCATAATCCCCTGTTTGTTGTCTGTAAATGGCTTGAAATTTTGTTTGAATGAGTTGATATTTGTGTCATGTGTGATTAGGAAGGGAGTAAAAAACAGTTAAAAAAACAAAATAAAAAAAACAAAACAAAAACAAAAAACAAACACTGAATGATGTCACGAATCAGAAACGTTTCATCTCGTTTTCATTTCAAGAGATAATTTGTTCAGTTTTTTTTTTCCCTCTGGTTCACAAAACAGATCTTTCTTTTGACCCCTTATTTCACAGAGTTTTCAAGGAAAAATTTTTTTTTCTTTTACTTTAAAATATCAAAGGATGAGGGGAAAAAAAAAAAAAAAGAAAAGAAAAAAGAAAAAAAGCAAAAAAAGAAAACAATTTTTTTTTTGGTTTTTAAAGACTGGCATTCAATAAATATCTTAAATGTTCTCAACTGAATAATGGCAAGAACTGAATCCCAGAGAATTAATTTTGGCACATTTGTTTTGTCTAAGATTATTAGTCCAACAATTTCACTTGAAATTTTTGGGTTGCTTTGGGTCGCAGTGCTGATATCTTCTTTCGCCCTCATAAGATCGCAGGAATATGAAAAGATTTTGTACTTGGCTTCGGCACAGTTTGCCAGGTGAAGATCAAAGGAGATGTCCAATTGAAATGGTTTGATGCACATCATCAAATTGGGTTTGTACCATTAAAAAAATTTAAATTTAAAGAGGGGAAAAAAAAAATAATATATAAATGAAACATTTTAACAGGATTTATAAAATGAAAATCTTACCAGTAAAAATAAAAAGTGAAAATGGTTCAACACAGAAAAATGAATGATTATGAAATTTGAAATACTAGCATTGCTTAAATTGATTGAACCACTTGTAAAATATACAGAAAAATTTTGGGGGAGGGGAAATTATTTTTATAGATTACCATTCAGGAGACTTTCCTCTCCTGATGACATTTGTCAGAAACAAAAAATATTAATATTTATCACTTTAGAAGGGAAGTGGGGCCCATCGTCATAATAGAAATATCAAATTGATCCCCATTCTGGGTAAGATGATAAACTACATCCGCATTCTGTTTGAGATGATAAAGGCCTCTGATCAAGAGGTTTTGAGGAGCGTGGAACCACCTCTTAATTGCTGGTGTTCCCAGGTCCACCTTGACTCGGGGTGGTGGCAACTGTTAGGGTCCTTGCTATGGGCAAATAGTTAACCACCAAACTGGGATATGAAAGTGTAAAAATATGTTTTGATACCAGAAATAATTTGTAAAAAATTATTCCCAGCAATAAAAATTGCCAGCATTATAATAACCCATTGAGGTTGATATGCCATAAAAAAAAAACAAAAAACAAGACAAACCAAGCAAATTGATCCAGGATGTTTTAAAGTATTTTGTTTTTAATTACAGATGTCAATTTTGAAACTGCTTATGTCATTGATAATTATGTACTACTGGTGATGAACTTTTCCCCAATTTGCAATTATTAATGTCACCAACACAGTTTCAAACTTGATTGATTCATTTTTTATGGCTTATCAACTTTTTCCAGGTTATATAAAGTCAGAAAATATTTTCAGATTGCAAGAATTTTTTTTTTTTTTTAGATAATAATGGTTTACTGATACAAATCTTACTAATTAACCCATAGCTGTGGGGAGAAGAGGTGGATTCATACCTTTCACAAGGTATGAATCCATGTAAGTGAATATAATGAACAGGAATCAGAACTCGGCTCTCCGATTAACAATTCCTAGCCATTATCCATTACATCACTTGTACATCCAAGCTTACAGCACTTGGCATTCCCAAGCGGTCACCCATCTCGGTACTGACCGGGCTTGTCACCAACACAGTTGGTGATTGTACAGGGACTGGTCTTTCAATATGATGTTGCCGTAAGCCAATTTAAAACTTGATATTTTTAAATAAAAACAAAATACAGATAACACTTCAAAATATCAGAGATCAATTTGAAACTGCATTTATATTATGAATTGGAGCCCCACTTCTAAAATTATAAAGATTAATATTTTTCAATTTTGATAAATATTGTCATCTGAAGAAGGCCTGATGAATGCTAATTTAGAAAATCATTCCCCAAATTTTCCCTTAAATCATTACTTTAAATCTTCCCCAATTAAAAAAAAAAAAAAAAAAAAAAAAAAAATTAATTTGAAGATTAGTCAATTTAAGTGATGCCAAAATATTAATATGAAATATGGTTTTCTTTGAAGGAAAAATAAGTGTAAAGTTTTGATTGGTGACATCTTCAGCCCTAAATGGACTCAAAATAATCAGGAAACAGAAAATACTGGAAAAATGATTATTTTTTAATTTTTTCATCTAAATTCATTAATAAAAAGATTACAAGTAAATGTAACACAAAAAAAAGTGAAATTTTCCAAGTTTCTGTTCAGAAAAAGAATTTTTTTAGTTTGTTTTTAATGAATGAGAGGAGGATTCAATCCAACTGAAAAAAAAAAAAGATTTGATTGGACAAACATTCTAAGACATTTAGGGTCTTTAAAAAGTGGCCAAGAAGTCCTTAAGAAAGACAGCAGGTAAATATTGTTCAAATTGTATTCAAACAAAAACAAAAACAATAACAACAAATTGTGTTTGTCCAAGCAAATCTATTTTTGAGAAGAGTTAATTCCAACTGGAAGGAATCGGAGATTTTAAAGAAATTTGGTTGTGAGTTTTTGTCACTGCATTCTTTCTTTTTTCTGTTGGGGGAGAGAAAAAAATTTATCCTAAAACCATTTCAAGGCTCATTAGAATCGTCCAAACGTTTCACGATGTGTTGGTAAATCTCAAGAAGTTCTTGAAACTGTTTCTCCAGAAACAAATGCCTTTGTTCAGTTGTCATATTTGGCATTGTGGCAGACAATTCCTCAGGGTGAAGAATATTCTCCAACTTCTTGAAGTCACGACCATTTTTCTGAAAAAGAAAAGAGAAGTCATGGAGAATTCTGTTCACCCACAAAAGGTCAAGGGAAAAATCTATATAAACTTGAGGATCCGTCAAGTCTGCTTGCAGGGATGGTGAGGCTCTTTACTAATAATGCAAGAACATTGAAGTGAAAATAAAACAAACAAGCAATTGTGCATCTTCCTTTAGCTGTCATTTTCACCAAATACAATCACATATACACACAAGTTGAATGACCTATGGTAATGTTTAACGAGCCGTTACTAGTAGAATGAGTTTAATCATCAGTGAGGGTTCTAAACTTGTAGTCTTGTAACTAAAGGAATGGCACAAGCAATATTTTGAAAGACGAGTTTGATAATCACCCTGCATCAAATTAGTCTTTCAAAATATTGCTTGTGTAATTCCTATTCAGTCATCTGTTAATATGTCATTGTTGTGGGTTTGCACACAATTTAGTAAACACAATAGCCACCTCCTTTTATCAATAGGGTATATGTTCCGAAATTCTTAGCAGATACCTGAAACGGCAGGACATGTAAATTGTAAAAAAAAAGGACTACAAATAAAAGAAGCCTTAACCATAGAAACGACCTATTTCACAATGCAGGGAGGAAAAGAAAACAACAACATACAGATGCATGAAAATGGAACATTTGAAAACTCAAAGAAACTCCAGTTCCTATACAATTGCCAAAGTTAAGTAATGTTGAGCCCTGTTCATATTTAGATGGATGACTGAAGCTTGGATGTGCAGGTGGTGTAATGGATGATGGCTTGGAATTGTTAACTGGAAAGACAGATTAGGTTCGTTATATTCAGTTATACGCAAATGTGAAAGGTATGAATCCACCTCTTCTCCCCACACCTAGACTATAAGTAAATTAGTAAGACTTGTATCACTAAACCATTATTATCTAAAATTTTTTTTAATTCTTACAATTTAAAAATATTTTCTGCCTTTAAATATCAAAGGGTTGATAACCCATAAAAAAATGAACCAGTCAATCTAATCCAAAGAAACACAATACATACACAATACATACACAACACATAGACACAACTCTGTGGTGATCTTTATTCAAGGACATGTCATTGTGCATCTCTTGCCCAGAACTGGAGGCCTATCTCAAATCTTGTTCCACTGAGAGCAAAGTTATTTTTTTTTTGGTTTTGGTTTGTTTGCAGTAGTCTACTGCTGTAACTGGTTTCAGAAATTTCTTCCTTTTTATATTTGGAATAAATTTAGTTCATTTAATTGAAGTTTTATTTCCTTCAGACTTGCTATATTATTTTAGGTTTTCATTGCAAAAACATTATTTTGTATGAAATACACAAAAAAAAATGTAATTTACGAAACCTGGCATTGTTATTTGGAAGTTAATTTAAAATTTTTTTTTTTTTTTACTTCTCTATGTAATCTTTATTTATAAAAACAAATACACTAGTGATCAACTTTATTTAAAAAAAATTAAAAAAAGGCAAAGCCTTACAACAACCACATTAAAATTTGCAACCTCTGTCAACAGGAAAAATTAGCAATGACATTTCTGGATCCAAAAATCATTTTGAACCAGATATCCAAAATCATGAGCCGTTGCATACATACAAAAAGATTTCTCTTAAGCTCATATGAGATTGGTTAAAAAAGTAGATACATTTTAATTACCCCCCCACCCCGATACATTTATAATACCCTTGCTTTTCTCTTCCTCCCACTTCTTTTTCCTTCTCTGCATCCTCCTCCTTTCTTTTTATCATACCCAACACTGTGCGTTTGTTTATTTTTATAAAGTGTTGGGAGGTCAATTGATAAAAATCACCTGAGGATACCGTAAGGTTGAATCCAAGTTAGCAAAATCAACTATTCTCCTAATTTTTAAAGTGTGCGTGTTTATATATATATATATATATATATATATAAATTCACCCCAAGCAAGGCGATAATGCCACTAGGACGCAAGTAGGCTACTGGGGGTGAAAGAGAATGAGAAGATTTTAGAAGGAACTGGAAACCCAATCCTAAACAGGAAACAGGGGATAAACCTCTAAGCCCGTTCAAAAGACCAGAGAGGAATGAGAAACGGATGATGAAAATATACTTTAAAGGTATACTATATTTATGGGTAAATATTACATAGGACAAAGTGTATGTAAATATAAAAGTGGACATTGAGGCCAACACCGAGTGGCGACAGTCTGTTTCATGCTTGAATGCAATCTTCAGGCCATGGGGGAAGGGAGAGGAGTCATATATGATAGCCTGAAGATTGCATTTAGGCATGAAACAGACTGTCACCACTCAGTGCTGACCTCAGTGTCCGTGTGTGTGTATGTATGTGGATGCTGAGAAGTTTTCAACCCAATGAAGAATGGGATTTCAAAATAAAATTTGGTGTTTGCTCAAATTTTGATATGTTCAGCTGAGAACTTTTCAGCACCATCTGTGTATGTATGCATGTTTATATACACAACCATTTTATCCCCACCACCCTTACATACATAACTTAGAAACAATAAGATTAACAAGATGACTGACTAATTTGTGTCTTTACAGCATATCAACCCCTTGTAGGTTATTTAAAGCTAAAACATATTTTGGTTTGTAGGTTTGACATGTGAATTAACAAGAATTTATAAGAGAACAATTGTAATAATGTGCTGTAATGAAAGTTATGTAATGGACAGATTCAGTTTTTCTCTCATTATCAAGAACTATCATGTTTTCACTTAAAGGAAACACTTAATAGCTGGTGTATTTGGATAAAGATGCATCACTAGCGTTGCTTTTTGGCACCGTTATTAAATAAAACTCAAGACCTGTTCTGTGTATCTGCCACATTTGACTATCTACAGGCTATAAGATTTATAAATTACAAGAAATCCAAGGGAAAGAAAAAAACAAAAACAAAAAAACAAGCAAGGTGATAAAGCCACTAAGATGCAAGGTGTTACTGAGAGTGAAAGAAATTGAAAAAGTGTTATTGAGGTGAAAGCAGAATACAAAAATAGGATTAAAAACAAAAAGATGATTGATGTTACATTTCAATCTTTGAAGATTGTACTTGACAGGAAGTGTGAGAGAAGAAACTACTAGCATAGAACTTATGGTTAAATATAGCAATTCCAACAGCAAAATTATGAGACCTAGCAGCCAATCTAGTATCACATTTAAATTCATGAAGTACTGTGTGGGGTGGGAGTAAAAAAAACAAAAAACAAACAAACCTTAAACAAGCAATGTATTTCTGACATTTCTAACAGGAGATGCCAAAGATTAGAAACAGACATTTGATGAGATGCAAAAGGGAAGGAAACAATCTCTTGAGAAAATTTTTCCTTTTCTGTTGGGTGAGACATAATCAGAGCACAAAGATGGAAAGAAAATCATTAAAGAAACAGAAGTGACTTGGGAGGGAGAGGATTACTTGATAGTATATTTCTCCATTTATCAGCACATTCAAATAACGTCTTTTACAACGACTGGTGCATTTAAAAACAATCACAATGTAATGACATAATCTATTCTGCTTTCAAATCACAAACATTCCATTTGTGTTGCAATATTATACAAGTTGCAACTGACAATCCTAGTTTTACTTTTAGTCAAATGAAACTCACAACTTGTTGCATTTGCCTGATAATTAGGCTTTTAATAGGTTTTCAAGCTAATTTATTTTTGGAAAACAAGAGGAAAAAAGGCAGTTACTGAAATTGCTAAATTCTTTCAAGTCTTTGCAAACAAAATTTTTTATACACCATTTTAAAGGACATTTTTGGGAAATGGCTTTCATGCGATATTATGGACACCCACGCAGAAAAGGAAAGGAGGTGGTTTTATCTTGATCTCAAGTGTTTCTGTTTGATAGACCAGCAGACGGTTCCTTTTGAAGTTTGGTCTTCTAAGTGATATCCAATTTAACCGAAAGAGAACGGGAAGTAAAGAGGTGGAGGAGGGGGGGTTTTTGGCGATCAAGTGGCAACAAAACCAGAAATAGCGTATATATCCGGGTGCTGGTCTATATTAACATTCATACTTTGGATTGAGGAAGAGTGCTGGTCCACCTTCGGTGGGAGATGGATGTGCCCGTCATGCATTTCTGAAGCTTCCATTGCCAGTCACCACATCGAGATGAGTAGATTGGGCGAGGAGTTGGTAGAGGGAAGAGCTGACATACGCTGTAGATGTTCCAAGTATCATCTAATCACCAAACCACCTTGATGAGCAGATGAAGCCTTCAATAAAAGGCCTTTATATAATATGGGAAACAGAGTTTGTGTTTTAATGTCTCAATGTGGTATTTTTTATAATGTTACTTTGCAGCATGCTCTTCCTTAGCTTTCAGTGAACACTGATGAGATTAAGAATCAGAATGTGATGTGGGGTAATCATTAGTCAATCAGTTGAAAGCTTGGATGGGGGTTGCATTGTATGTTTACATTCATACAAAGAATTATACAGACTAACTTGATTTGAACTCTTTTTCCTGAGATAAACATGATAGATTTCAATTTTTTTTTTTAATTTACTAAAGTGCTATTTATTGTTAAGGGGGGGGATTCTGGACTTTACTGAAAATTTCTAATTTTTATTAGATGAAGCATTTTTAACATTTTTTAAAATCTGTATTTCATTTTAATTTGATTGCCTTTTATTGAGGTAGATCCACTGATTTGCTAAAAAATTTAGAATACCATGATAAAAAAAAAGGGCCCCAAATTTAATAAAAATAAAGTTTTATTGTCAAAATGTTTTGTTTTATTAAAAAGAAAGACCAAAGTCTTTTTCTTTTTAATTATTTTATTAAATTTTTTTTAATCCTTTTTAGTACATTTGAAATTTTGGTTAAAAATCTTTTCTTCAGTGGAATATTTACAATTAGTTTTTTTTTTTGCGCGTTTTTTTTTTTTTAGTGAAAAACACATTGATTTGGAAATTCTTGTAAAATTTAAATAATTGTTGAAATTTTAATGAAAATTTCAGAACTAATTCACAAATAAATGAAATT